AGTGTAGGAATTAAAGGCGGCTGCCAATTCCTCGTCATTCTGAACCACTTCTGATACTACATTTTCGAAGTCTGTGACAAAGATTGCATCCGTGTCACCTTCACCAGCTAGAGCATCAATCATCTCATCATCACCTGGGACTTCACCTTCTGCAGCATAGATTTCATCATTCATTTCATCATCAGGTTCAGCGGCTTCTGCAAGCAAAGTGGCTTGATCATAGGTTTTGAGTTTTCCACGTTTCAAACCTGTCATGTCCTGAAAGAACCCGGCTCCCAACATTCTGATTGCACTGCTCACCCTTTGTACTGAAAGGTCACCTTACCCAGCGGCATCAGCATCAACTAGGACCTTCTTCTTGTCATCGGCACTCAAGGTTGACCCTCGGAGAGTCACATACGCCTGGAGGTCTGACAATTTGAGATTCTTGCTATTGAGTTCAGTCCACATGATGTCTGCCCTTACCAGGAACGAATCGGCTTCCTGTACACACTTGTAAGAGCTCTCTCTGCATGCTCGTACTTCTTTTCATCCTATTTGACCCCGATGGCCACCAAGGATTTCAATCAGGCGCTTCACAGATTTGCGCTCATTTTCCATGAGCTCCGATTGATGGAGCTGCAGCTTCATGAATGCGGATCCAGAACAATTCAGAATCAACCGTGTAGTCAGCTCTGTATACTTACCTACCGGCCATGCATCCAACAGCAACATCACCTTCTGTGAGTAAACCTGCAAATCGTCCTTGGAAGGATCGAAGGTGGGCACCAAGGCAGCTATTTGGTTCGGCACCATGCTTGAGACTTCGGAATCTGTCGTAGATGAAGTTCCATCACCTGACATGTTGAACCAGCTGTAAACTTGATACCCTGGATCTCCCGCACTTTCGGCAGCGGGGCTCCGCTACCAATGCGAACGGAGTCGCGCTGGTAGCAGTTCCCCTTCCTCCAACACAAGCTCTGCAGTTGCTTTTCCCCAAAGCAGGCCAACGGATCTCGGATGGAAAGCGACACTTACGTGTCAAGGCAAATGCTAATGGGCAGCCTCGCCCAATTGTCCAGCGACCCAACGCTGTTGCAGCAAATGGCTTCAAGCAAATGTCCCGCCCACCTCAAATCCTCAAGAAGGGCCCTGAGCCTTCAGTTCGCTATGGAAAAAGGAACATGTGTTTCTGACCGGTTGGAGCTGGGCATGATGGCATTCACGCTGGTTCAAAATGGCACCTTGGTAAAAGAACTCATTGCAATGCTGTTCAATTCACAATGTATATATATATATCACATAGGCTTGTTGTGGGCGCGCAAAAATGCGTGATTTAGAGCTCACATGCAGGCCTTCTCATATTATACATGGTATTTATTTTCTGACATTCTTTTCTGACATGCTAGTCTGGCATTCTATCTGGCATTCTTTCTGATATTCTATCTGGCATCTATTCTGATATTCTTTCTGGCATCTATCCTGGCATTCTATCTGACATTCTATTCTGGCATTCTATCTAGAATCTATTCTGACATTTTATTCTGCCATTCTATCTGGCATTCATCCTGGCATTCATGTGGCATGTATGCTGGCATTCATAATGGCGTTTTATCGCATCCTATCTGACAGTGCATTCTGGCATTCTCCCCAGTGGCCAGTGCCCACTGAGTCCTGAGATCTGGCGCTCGCCTCATTGCGTTGACGTCCGGCAGTGCCCACTGAGATCTGGCGCTCGCGGTTAAGGTCCGGCGGAAGGAAGGAAGGAGGAAGGAAGGAAGCAAGGAAGGAGGAAGTAACTCTAGTAAACCCAGAGACCCCCACCTGGCAGGTGGGGAATTGATCGAATTGGGGAGATTGACCAACAACAGTGGGATCTGACCTGTTTGATTTGCTTTTCTTGGCAAGATTGGTGGTGAAACAGCCTTTAAGCGGACGTCCACTGGTTTGATCGAGGCTAAGACCATCATTTTGAGGAATCCAAATATGAGATGGCGGATGGATCGGGAGATCGGGAATCAAAATTTCTGCGTTGTACGAATGCACAAAGTGGCTTGTTTTTTTCGGACATCCATTTCTGGTTCAAACTTGGTACCCAATTTTGACGCAAATATAATCCCATTCCCCTGATATTCAGCACCCCCCAGAAACTGTGGTTTAGCGAGGGTTTAGAGATATTTGGGACATTTTGGGACCATACCATGGGGGTGTGGGATTTTTGTGTGTAGTATAGATAGATAGATAGATAGATAGATAGATAGTTAGATAGATAGATAGATATATATATATATATATGTGTATATATATATACATACGCGTTGTACCCTGATATATCATACCCATGTTCAGCATTTTTGACAAACATCATATTTTTCTCGAGCCATTCCCATACCTTTGCCCATTTGCTATGTGATTTTGTGACATTGACTCAGTAATACAGGATCTGTGTGCTGAGCACAGCAGTGAAATCGGGCAATTTCGTTGCAGGACTTGCAGACGCTTCGGATCACAATGTGCCCGTTCGAGGGGTCAATTGGAGATTTCTTTTTGGGGAATAACCCCAAGTCACCACGGGTTTCAACATCAAAATGGTCATTTGAAATGACTTGGATGATTTGGGATTTGGGGCAGTTTTTTTAAAGGAAACCACCAATTGAACGGGTAAATATACTGGTAGACTGACTAGTTTCACCACTTCTATCGTTCACTGTACCTACAGTGGATTGGAGCAATCCTGAAAAAGAGAACATAATGTTGGCAACCTAATACTATAAACCTACACAATTTTGGGGAGGGTTTATACCAACCACAAAAATTGGGGATAGTTTATATACAAATTATTGGGTTTATCATATTGACATAAATTCTACAAACCAAATGTTAAAAAACAATATCATTGTAAACATAACGTTGAACACTTTCCCATAACTTGTAAAAACTTCCAACCTTCACAGGAAAATCGTCTTCACCGTCTGGTAATCTAAGATCGTTCGGGAAATCCATCCATACTTCGATGAATTTCGCATCCATAAGCCTCCATGGATTTTTCAGAACATAGACGAAATTGGGCCTATATCCCCTTAGCCCATACAAAATATAGGCCAAACATATTGCTAGGTAGCTCGAATTTGGGTTCCTGGAATGGCAATTGATATTATATTAAACTTATTAAATCTGGATTTTTTCAAAAGAGGGTAACGTTGGCTTTGCCCATAGCCATTGCTTTCTGATCCGGCTTTCAGATCTTGTTCCTGATCCTTTCCTGATCGAGGCTTTGCTTTCCCTCGTATGGCACTCGAAGGTTATGATTGTATTTCATCAAATTTAATGTAATCAGATATATTAGATATTATTAGATATCGCCAGAACAAATTGTTCAGAATTTGTCAATGCTCTTTGTTTTGCAATCATGGATGCAGGCCAGCTGTAACTTCCTAGAAATGTGAGCCCCGTCAAAATCCATTGGTGAGGGCTATTTGGTCGGCCATCGGACTGTAAACACTTGGTAACCATGGTGCCTTTAGCAATTTGCAGAAATTGGCATCGGTCAAAGTTAGAGGAACTTCCCCCATTTTTAGGGGATGTTTGATCGAGACCCCGGAAGAGATGTTTAGCCAATTTAGGGGCCCCCGACGCTCAATGTTTGAAAAACCCTTCGAATGGACTTCCCATCAAATCTCAAATGCCGACTTCCCTCAAAGTCTCTGCGCTTTCGCTTGGAGCAACTGTCAAAACTCGCAGAAGAGAACACAGGTTTTTAGTCACCATCCATTTTCAAAAATTGTAGAAAAGTTACATAAGCCGTAGGGCCACACCGAAAATTCAGGTCGCAATTTTTCTTTCTTCGGATCTGGAAATGAGATCTTGGCATTAGCTCCAAGATGCGAATCGGCGTTGCCTCCCGGAAGACGCAATTTGTCAAGATGTCAGAATTTAAGCCGGAATAAAGTAATGACGGCAAATGAAGCAGGTTTGTACAGGGACATTTGAATAAGCTGGTGAAAGGCATATGAAGAAACAGCACCAGTTAACACCATATCATCCATTGTGGACGTTCCGCTAAAAAAGATCAGCTAAGTAGAGGCCAAGTAGCAAGCCAGTTGTTACACTCGTTACGGCCACTTGGCCACTTCAGCGCCTTTCACCACTCAAAATTTGATTATATTTTTGAAGAATGTGCCACTAGTGAGATGTTCCACAACGTTCCTGTTCAAACATCGTTGACAGATTCCAAAAGTCGAGCGCGCGATGCTGGGCTTTGGCATGGAGTATCTGGAGAGATGCTGGCGGGGTTTGATCGGCTGGTAGGTAGCGAAAAAAGATGACTTGGTGGTAAACCCTGGCTGCCATAAACAAGGAAATTTGGGGATGGTTGGAATCCCCATCAAGGTATATAAAAATGCTGATGACTTGGGGATGATATTAGCTGTCTCCAAGATTCGCCAGGCTGTGAAACAGGATGATTTGATCGTCTTCTCAAGGCAGTTTCCATCCAGTCATGGGGAATGTCGTCGATGCCCAAACTATCCCATGGAAAGCCCCTGCATCCCCCACCAGCATCAACTTTGTGGGGACTGAAAGGGTTTCATATTCTTGGCCCGTCAGCTTGTCTTACCCATAGGGCACCTTGATCATCACTTTCCCAGTTCGAATGTATCGAAAAAAATCATTTTCAGCACCCAATTTGAGGCAAAGCCATACGGGTTTGTCTGAAGCTAGGGTACCCAACTGGAAAAGATTGCAATTTTCTGGATTCCGTTAAAACATGTTAAATACTATTCTTATTCATCTTGTTAGAAACATCCCCATATTTTGTTATCGATTGTCGGTAACTCTCATGTTTACATTGGTATCCCATCTTCTCTAATTATATAAATCCGCAATTTTGTTGGTTAATTCCCATTATATTGTTGATTAAATCCAATTTTTTGGGGGTTAAAACCAAGTTTTTGGTTAAATTTATCCAGGGAAATCCGCGTATCATATTGGACATCTCCCACAAACCATGATGAACTATCGAGGTCACATGTGGAAGCCCTGGTCCCTGTTGTTCTGGCGAGCGTCCATCAGGCAGGTTTAATGCTTTTATGTTGATGTTTTTAGTCTTTGTGGTTTTTGGCACCGCTCCAAATTGAGATGCCGAAACGTATTTCCAGGATTGTATATATCATTTCCAGTTGGGAAACATTGTTCCATCTTTGTTTTTTTGGTGGGGGGGTGCGATAAGTGAGACAGTGGGTCATCATCCAAGATGTTCGAAGCCTCAAGCATATTTGGGATCCGAAATGGAGACGAAATCGGCTTGAAACCGCAAGAAAAGTCGTGGAATTTCCTGAAAACTGAAGTGGCTACAAAAAGTTGGCCTTGGACTCCTTGAACCAATGGGAAGGTGATTTTGCTTGGGATTTTAGGTGGCACTTGGTTTTTTTCGTTCAACTCACAGTCTGGGGCGTTCTGAACCGAAACAAACGGGCCTATTTTTCAAAATGGGGGATTCCAGATGACGATCTTCCCACTGGATGGGTAGAGTTTCTCCATCGCAAAATCGATGGACCAAAAGATGAGCCAAACCAAAATAGATGGACAATATTGTTTAAACATGAAACTATCAAAGATTAACCAGCTTTTTTTTCGATCAATTGATCAATATTTCATATATAGTGATCAATGAGAATCTCAAAGAATCGCGGTAACGCGCCAGCTTTTCCCGGTACTGAGTCCAGGTTTGGTCGCTGTCTTATACCTAGCGATAGAGGACACATTCATGTAGGAGGTGTCCAAAAAAAGGGGTATTGCCATTCAATAGTTGGATGTTTTTGTTTTTTTCGATCCGAAAGTTTAACATGCATGATTTGGAGGTACCCATGACTTGGGAAACCTCCATTTTTTTTTGAAAGAACGCATTCCCAATCCAAAACTTGGGCTGACTACTAGTATGTTTTTTTCCATCCAAGGCGTTTCATTGTTGAAGTGAGGCCCCGGCTCGCGAAATCGTTAAGTTGACGCAAATATGATGTATATATACTGTATATATATTTTATATACATACATAGCTTGGCAAAGTAGGGTTTATGGATGTTTATGAATGTTCATGGATGTTTATGAATGTTTATGGGGGTTATAAAATGATATAACTATACTATTCATGGCTTGATGATTTTCGCCACATTTCCCCGTTAGGTGCTTGAAGTGGTGATGCAGAAGGTGGAAGAAACCATGGATATGCATCTTGGATGGTGATGTGGCCGAGCGCTGTTTGTGGTGGTGTGACAGTTTTTTGGGTGTCCCCAAAAAACCCGGGGAAATCCGATGTCCCAAAAAAAACATTAACCCTACAACCCCAATAGCAAAGTCTCACATCTCCGTTGACGCTAATTTGGTATTGCCCGGGGAACCATTTTACTCAAGAAAAATACCGTTTCTTCAATACCACCAAAGAACCACCGGAGCACCGCCAAAACAGCACAGGAACACCACGAAAACATGAGCAAGACTCAAAACATCACGAAAACCGTCAAGACTTATGGACACACCGCCGAAGTGCCACCAAGACGCCAACGACCACCGAAACACAATTGAAAGACCACCAAGACACCAGCAGGAGAACAGACATTATCAACCATCAGGACTGACACCATCAGGACAGACACAACCAATTCCCGAAAAGGCCCGCGAAGTTGCTACCAGCATACTTTGTCACAATATCATTTTCCCATCACCATCATCACAACACCGTCCGTACAGACATCCACCAGCATCAAAACACCAACCTCATCATCGTCATCATCGTCATCACTTGAGGCCCAGAGGGGGTGAACGAAAGCTAAAGGTCATATGAATGTGGAAATAGGTGAGCGGAACTTGGAAACATGCAGGGAAGTGCAGACGATACTCATCCACAGGGAAGGAGACAAGATGGTTGCAAAGAATTGTGCAATGTCCAGCTTTCAATCGTAGAACATGTGAAGCAAACAACATGGTTACTGAAAAAAGTTGGGGCCGTATCCAGAAGTGTAATTTTTGATGGGGCTGAAATCCTCAACTGCTGACCCGAGTCACAAAGAATTCTATTGTTAGAAGCTCTGGCGAGCTTGGAAACTCTCAACCAAAGAAGATTGGTACCCGACAAAGTTTGGGCCCCATCCAAAATTACAATTTTTGATGGGGCTCAAATCTGCACAGTGTTGACCTGAGTCAGAAAGAACTCTATCGAGCCTAATGTTCTGGTGAGGCATCTTGCGCAAGAGTTCCATCCGAACAACATGTAATCTTCCGTTGCAAGTCGTAAAACATCTGAACCAAAGAAGAAGGTGACTCTATAAAGTTTGGTCCCCATCCAAAATTACATTGTCGATGGGGCTCAAATCTACACAGTGTTGACCTGAGTGAGAAGGAACTCTATCGAGCCTAATGTTCTGGTGAGGCATCTTGCGCAAGAGTTCCATCCGAACAACATGTAATCTTCCGTTGTAAGTCGTAAAACATCTGAACCAAAGAAGAAGGTGACTCTATAAAGTTTGCTCTCCATCCAAAATTATAATTTTTGATGGGGCTCAAATCTACACAGTGTTGACCTGAGTCAGAAAGAACTCTATCGAGCCTCATGTTCTGGTGAGGCATCTTGCGCAAGAGTTCCATCCGAACAACATGTAATCTTCCATTGCAAGTCGTAAAACATCTGAACCAAAGAAAATGGTGACTCTATAAAGTTTGGTCCCCATCCAAAATTACATTGTCGATGGGGCTCAAATCTACACAGTGTTGACCTGAGTGAGAAGGAACTCTATCGAGCCTAATGTTCTGGTGAGGCATCTTGCGCAAGAGTTCCATCCGAACAACATGTAATCTTCCGTTGTAAGTCGTAAAACATCTGAACCAAAGAAGAAGGTGACTCTATAAAGTTTGGGACCCATCCAAAATTATAATTTTTGATGGGGCTCAAATCTACACAGTGTTGACCTGAGTCAGAAAGAACTCTATCGAGCCTAAAATTCTGGTGAGGCATCTTGCGCAAGAGTTCCATCCGACAACATGTAATCTTCCGTTGCAAGTCGCAAAACATCGGAACCAAAGAAGATGGTGACTCTATAAAGTTTGGGTCTCATGAGATAGGATGGCTGTCCAGATCTCTTTTTTCACCACCTTGTTTTTGTTGCTGCGCAGCTGCGGCACGTTTCGGCTGGCATCAACTGGACAGCACATAAACTCAACAAATCCTGAGCCAGAGAGCTACAGAGGGACGGCCCTGGCAGGATTTGAGCCCGTGACCATCTGTTTCCGAGACTGCTTCAAAATGCCCCGGGAGCTTTGGGGGGGGTTCAAGTGAAAAATCACTGTGTTGAGAGCAACTCAGCTAGCTACCGCTAGCTTTCGTGATCATCACGCTCTTCTTCATCTTCATCATCACAATCATCATTTTTTACTTCAACTTCGTCGTCAGCATTTTCTTTTTCTTTTTCATCAACCATGCCCGTATCACCATCATCATCATCATCAGTAGTAGTAGTAGTAGTAGTCGTCGTCGTCGTCATCATCATCATCACTTTCTTTTTCTTCTTCAACATCCTCACTGTTTTTATACATCTACAATCTACAAAATGAAACTTATGTATACAGGTGTAGATGCAAACATGAATCTTACTGACAGGCGTTCAGGTGCAGATTCCAATTCAAAGACGCAGGTTGACAGGATTTTCCTTAACACAGCTACCAAAAGAATATATGCCATATGCAGGTGTAGTGCGGAAGTTATATAGATGCAGGCGGAAATCCTTTTTTGGAAACGAGAAGTGGATATATGCAGGTGTGATGTGGCAGATGTAAAGACGCAGGTGGAAATCAATTTCTTACAGACACCTACAACCTTGATTGTTTCTAACTTTTTCTCTTCGAGCGGCAGGGCAGCGTGGATTGATGTCCACGAAACGCAACCCGTTCGCACGAAATGTCGATCGTCATACATTGAGGTAAAATTGCAATGTGGGTTTGTCCTGGGCCAACCCTTTCCCACGACATGCGTCTCGACCATCAAAAGCTGTGGTGAAACTTTGATTTTGCATGCGTGCTGAACTCTTTGCGCCATACGCGTGTCCGCCACAGGAAACGATTCAGTAGTATGTCTGTGCGAATATGCCCGTAGCTAAAAACCTTCGTGCACATGCATTCCTTTGTAAAAGCACCTCTATTTGTTTTTGGTTTCTGTGTAAAATTGCTCAGTGTAAACTCACCTCTCTGTAAAAGTATTTGTGTGTAAAGAGGCATTTCTCTCTGTGCGAAGGTGTCTCCGTGTAAAATTATCTCTGTGTAAAAGCATGTGTGATCAAAGGCATCCCTGTGACAGAGCGTGCGTGTATGTAAAGAAAACCCGCGCAAAATAAACACCGCCATGTAAAAGTATTTGCATGTAAACGTGCCTGCCACTGTGTGTCAAAGTGCCTCTGTGTAAAAGTGCTTGCGTGTAAAGGAGTTTCAGCTTAAAAGAATGTGTGCGAAAAGCACTGTGTACTGTTGACGTATTAACATGTAAAAACACCTGTGTAAAAGCATCTCTGTGTAAAGGTACCTGTGTTAGCAAAATCCTCTCTGCGTAAAAATATTTGTATCTTAAAGCACCCGTGTGTACAAGCATCTCTGTGTTGAAAGTATCTCTGTGCAAGAGCACCTGTAACTAGAAGCATCCCTTTGTAAAATCATCTCTCTGCGTAAAACCATCTCTGTGTGAAGGCTCCCTGTGTAGAAGCCCTTGTATGTAACGCATCTCTCTGTAAAAGCAAAATTTATGGAAACTTGATTCACACATGGCTTGAACCCTCCCCCAAATCGTGTTTCCAGCCTCACCCATGTAAGAGTACCTCTTCCTCGATGCGTCCTAGTGTAAAAGCACCTGAATGTAAAGGCATCTCTCCGTAAAAGTATCCGTGCAAAAATCCTCTCCGTAAAAGCGTATGTGTCTAAAAAGACGCCTTTGTACAAATGTTTTTCTGTGTGAAGAACATGTCTGCGTAAGAGTATTTAATGTAAAATCTTCTGTGTGTAAAAGCTCATTTGTGTCAAAAGAAGCCCCGTGCAAACGGACGTGCGTGTAAAAGCACTCCTCTGTAAAAACATCGCTGTGTAAAGACATCTGTGTGTAGAAGTGCCCACGCGTCTGTGTGTAAAAGTTTTTTTTTATATAAAAGCATCCCTGTGTAAAAACACCTGCGCATGAAGGTATCTGCGTGTAAAACCATCCCTGGGTAAAAGCATGTGTATGTGTAAATGCCCGTGTGAAAACATGTCTTTGTGAAAACACCTCTGTGTGAAAGTATCGGTGTATCATATGTTGGCTGTTAGCTGTTAGAATCTCTAAGCTACGTAGTATTTGCCGCAAAATTGGTCGGTTTTTGCAGCATTCTGCAGCTCATTGCACGGAGCTTTGCCATCGGGTAATATTTGCAGCAGTGCAAAGCTAACATCGGTAAATTGCATGATAGTTGCAAGATATGGGATCATATCTGCAAACTGTGCTGTGATGTTCACGGCGCTCTGAAGCAAAAAAATCTGTACACTGTAGAATGTTCGCAGTTTTTAGAAACCAAAAACTATCACTTGCGCAGTATGTGCAGCATACTGGTGCAAATTTTAGTGCATCGTATCGTCTTTGCAATATTTGCAACTATCATTGGTAAACCGCATGGCATGCGCAGCATTTTGAAATTGACGTCTGTCAATTGGATGCTACTTTTATGACTTTCTGAAGCTCAAACCTGCAAGTGGACGGTATTCGCAACATCTTGAAATTATCATCTGCAGATAGCACAACGTTGCACGGTGTTTGCAGCATGTTGCGGCTAACATCTGTAAACTGCACGGTCTTTGCCACATTTCGAAACCAACATTTGCAAATTGCTTGGGACCTGCAACTCTTTGAAAGTAACATGTGTACATGGGAAAGTGCACGCAGCATTTTGGAGCTAGGCCTTCATTTCTTTCTTCCTGCCGTCCTCCTTCCTTCTTTCCTTCCTTCCTTCTTTCCTTCCTTCCTTCCTTCCTTCCCTCCCTCTTTCTTTCCCTTCCTCCTGTACTTCTTTCTTTTCCTATTGGTTTTCTATTCTAATACCTTTTTCCTTTGATAAATTTGCCCGAGGGTCCCGGTGCAAGTGTAGCATGCAACAGGCATGTCAACTTCTAGGATGAGGTGAGCAGCCCACTGCCCTCGTTGCTGCATGGACTGAGGGAATGCCCGCAGTTGCTTCGGTAGAAGCATCATAATTAGTCCGTAAGTTACTTCATAACATACGTCAACATCCGTCCCTCCCCACACTTCAACTCAAACCTGCAAACGCAAGGTCGTCGTCACATCGTCATCGTCTTTGTTGTCGTCATCGTCATCGTCTTCGTTGTCGTCATCGTCATGGTCATCAGCATCATCATCATCATCATCATCACCATCACCGCTGTCGTCGTCGTCGTCGTCATCATCATCATCATCATCCTCGTCATCATCATCGTCGTCGTCGTCGTCGTCGTCGCCGTCGCCGTCATTGCCGTCGTCGTCATGACGACATCATGCAACCATTGAAGACTACCTGGTGCATGGCACAACCAACAGACCACCAACACAACCGCGCCAACACCACCAACACGACGCCACCAAGATACAACCAAGACACCGTGAACACCTTGAATCAACATGGAAGCCGCTGAGACACCACGGAGACACCACCGAGACACCACCGAGACACCACGGACGCCACCAAGACACCACCAAGACATCACCGGAGACAGCGCGGACACCACCGAGACATTATCAAGACACCATCGAGACAGTACCGAGACACCACTGAGACATGACCGAGACACCACCGAGATACCACTGCGACACCACCGAGACCCCCACACCACCGAGACACCGCCCAGGCCGGCAGCCGTAAACCCGACGGCGCCCATCCGCCTTTAGAGTTAACAACCCCAAGCTATCGCTATTGAGGCAAAAAACCAGGCCGGAGCTACGATGTGAGGAAATCCACAACTTTGGAAACTCAATCCTGGAGCTAGCCACTGGAAGCAACTAACTTCTTGGTGGAGTTTTCCTCCAATCTTTGGGTTTTTCTGATTCCAAGACCTGGAACACAGTGTTCCAAATCCGGAAAAATCAACAGCCAAAACAACCGCGAGTTGAATTTAAGATTGGATCCTTTGATTATTCAAGCCAAAGTCAGAATGCTACTGAACTTGTTGCAAGAATTTGACCTGTGCCATCTGTTGATGCTTGAGAACTACTTCGCCATTTTTTCAGATCCCCGGCATCCTGTTCGCGATGTAAAAACCCTGCAAGTTGCAGGAAAAAACGTCAAAGGTAGGCGTTTATCAAATTGGGGCTGCCACAGGGTTTCGAGTAAGGCGTAGAATATGTACTCTTCCAATCATGCGATGCAGTAAGGTTGTTTGAATGCCGCCCCCTACTAGGGTTTGCTTTCCCTTCCATACGATTTTTCGCAAGTCTCGGCAAATCGTTCTGGATTGAAGGCCATGAACATCACATCTTCAATGCTTCTAACCTTTCCTTTTTTTTCGGTACACAATGATACCCTTCAGACATCATTGACTGTTCCGAGATGCCTTCGGTGGGAATTGGGAATGTCTTTCAACCTATACCCAATCCATTGATGGATTTTGTACTATACCACAGATGACTAAAAACATGGGTTGATGTTCCCAGCTTCAATTTTGACCCGTCTCCAAAATGGCTTACGGACTCCAGCTTTCATAGACTTCTGGGAACAGTATAAACTGTGGACCCCAGCTTCAAACTTGGAATATAAGCGTAGGGCTTTGGCGAAAGATTCAAAGAAAAACACTGAACTACTTGGTACCCTTTGGTAATTTAACAGTTTGCTATTGAAAATTGCCATAGAAATAGTTGATTTACCCATTAAACATGGTGATTTTCCATAGTTTTTTGTATGTTTACCAGAGGGTAAATACTTGACCAGGACCAGTGGCTCGAAATTGCTTTGTCCAAAAAACGATCGCCAGTTGTACCCCATTTTATGGCAATTTTTATGGGGAAAGACGATGATCAACGACGGGATATATATATAAAACCAGAGTTGTAAGGGTCATATCCCAACTTTTGGAGGTGACTAGCATAGTGGTACCTAATACCCCTTCCCAAGTTAGGTATCACCATCCCTTTTTTCACGGGAATTGAAAAAATCAGGGCTGACACCACCAGCCAAGATCTATGGAATCTATGATCCAAGACGTCCAAGACGTCCAAGACGTCCAAGACGTGTACAAAAAAACCACCCACTCAAACTTTGAACTGCACCCCCAAGAGTCGGACATACTCAGTGAGCACCAATGACTCAGCCACAAATTGGATCCCTAGACGGTTCTATCGCAGAATGATTTTCCATAGCCTCAAAACACCGAAGCCCAAAGTCATTGATAAAGAACTTGGGGAAGATTTGTAGAAGGACATTTTCCAAACAGAAAGATCATTTATGATATATATATATATTACCCAACCATGAATAAGAACATCGACTTTCCATTTTTGGCACTGGCTCCGCCGAGAAAGCGAGGTTGTTGAAGAAGCTGAGACCTGCTCTGGAGCAGGTGTGATCGAAAATTCATGGGGAAAGGGGGCAGTGGACAATTCCTTTCATTGACTTTCTATGACTTTCGCGTTTTTTTTCCATTTCTGTAGATGCCTTTTGAAAAAAACATATCTCAGCCATTTGTGAAGAAAAAAACGGGTCATTTTGATGACATCTCCGTCGTTCGATCGTTACCCAGGTGGGTAAGTTGACCCATTGGGGGAACAACGAGAATGGGTCAAGTTTTCAAAATCCAATCTTGGGTTAAAGAAGTGTATGTCATATATGTAATATGTATGATATATATATATAATATTATCTCAGTCAAACTAGCCGGTTTTAATTGGTGTCACTCCCATGTTTGCGTGTCTCCCCACATTTTGCAAGTTACATCGTTACATGCCCATTTCTGGCAGTCAAACTTCCACTAAAACCCCCCCATGTAAACCCGGGTTGCTGGCAGACCTATTCTGGGCAAAAACGAGTGGCTAATTTTACATCATTTTACCAATTTTAAGCGTCCTCTCCTTTCGCCAATTTCCCATGCCCATGTGGTCTTGCAGCTTTCCCATGCCCATGTTTTTCCTATGGAACTTTGCATCACTGGACCTTCCTGCAGGTCGGCAAATGGATTGATCAGTTTGGAGACAAGGTGATCGCAGGACCGGGGTCAAAAAACGCAGTCCACAGGGCACCAGAAAAGATTGAAAAGGCAAAATTGATAAATCACATTATATCACAATTTTTCGGTAGGATTTTGCTTTTCTACATCTTTTCGAGGCTTGCGAATCTGTGAATCAGTTTGACCGAATTGTGGCCGATGAAACACCAAGAAAAAGTGATGGTTTATGTATGGGACAGCACCCAATTTGTTTTTGTTTATTTCTGCTTTGGGAGCTGTTATAATTTGACCAGAGAATGGAAGAAGACGGGCGAAAGAACTAGCACGTCCACGGCTGATTTTCTTAAATATCTATCTTACTGATAAATGTAGGGATGCAACTGTCACTGCCATCTACAGAACTATAACTTTGAAGCCGATCAGGAACGCTTGTTGACAAAGCGCCTTCCAAGTACAACCGGTCAGAATGGGGCACTTCACCCGTTACCTACTTGTGCTTAGTAGGGAATGGATGGGAATGGGGGAATGGGATTATTATTGATAGTTATTGTGGATCATTCCCTCATTCCCTACTAAGCACAAGTAAGGTGATGTATTCTTCAACTCATTCAAGTGACCCTTTCCCAATTTGTCATGGTGGACCCTGCTACGACTTAGTCGTTTTGGATGAAAGCACCGAGTATACTAAACCATGGTTTTTGGATTTCTATTGTGGGATGGATGACCATAAACCCTATAGCATGTGTTGACCCTAGCACATATCATTGTCGTTGCTCTGGTTCTTCTTCTTGTGATATATTGTTGATTCTATCAGTTAGAATCTTGGTTCAAATCCCGACTTCTAGCGGTTTTTCATCCCATTCTTGTTGGTTGAAGCCTCCTATTTGTTGGTTCTACCTAAAGTGTCACCTATTTGTCTCACCATTTCCACACGTACCTAGTGTCGTGTAGGTTCCCCACACCGGTGTCAGCTCCATGACTGGACAATCCACCAGAGTTCTCGATGTGAATTTCCCTATGGAAAATGATAGGATTTCCCAGCCATGTTTGATGACACCAGAGGGGTAGATTCATACATATTCCGTTTTTATCCCATTTTTATCCCATGATTATCCCATTATTATACCATTCATATCTCATTATTCCATGATTTCACCATATAAATCCCTAAGTTTAACGGGAATCCCTGAGCCCTAAGAGGCTAAAACGTGGTTTTCCCTATACCATTGATAGTTGTTTTCCTATATAAATCGATTTATCATGGTCTATCCATAGCCCAGCTGTGCATTTTCGAAACATTTCGAAACTCGAGGCTTGCAAGACTTTAGTACAACCTTAGACAAGGCCCAGAAGATTTTTGACCAGGCGCCACTTTTTGCTTGGATGCTTCGATGGCTGGGTTTTCGGGAAAGATCTTCACTGGAAACCGTGTTTTTTACTAGCAAATCTGGTGGTGGAAGCTGTAACATGTATACTTACTTTCCCATCATCAAACAAATTTGAGATTGGTGAATAGAACGTTGATAGGTGATTTTTCTGTTGTTCTAAGTCCGAATGTGATAAGTATTTTGATAAGTATTTTTGATGGAGGATCTTGAGGAAAAATGATGGGTTTAAGATGATTTAGCCAGCGAAAACGGTGGGACATCCAATAAAACTCAATGGCGTCCAACAATAAAACTCAACCCTGGCTTGGTAGCTTGATGGATTGTGAATTGCTGTAAATTCGGCCATTTGCCATTCATGTCAACCCCGGATTAATAAATCCGCAGTCTATTTATACAAAAAAATTAGGGGTGATAGGTCATTTTTCCATATTTTGGGAGTTCACCCTCGCGATTGGTAGAACCTGAGTTGGACAAAAAACCTGGGGATTCGGCCACCTTTGACTCCGAATGACATGTTTCAATAGGGCGCCCTGGGATGAGCATCTTTAAGATTGTTTTTTGTAGGGGACACCATGAAAGTCCCATTCTAGATCATGATTTCTCCATGATTTCTCCATGAAGTGTGCAAAATTTTCCTGATGTCTCCATATTAATCAAAAGAGGGGTATTCCTAGGTCAACTTTGTTGCTCGGATGGATGACTAGACTATAGCTAGACTATACCCCATATTTTCTATCATCATCTTTGGTAAATATCCCATATATTCCCATATAAAATATCATCATTTTTAAGGGCCATATCCCTTTTCTTCTAGCCGATATTGGTTTTATCATGTTTTATTCCAAATTGTCTCCACATATTCCCTGTATATAGTATATACAAAAAAGGGTGTTTCCATCAATGGGGGATCCCCCATAGCTGGTTTATTTCATGGAAAATCCGAAAAAAAACATGGATGATTTGAGGGTACCCCCATGACTTTGGAAACCTCTATATTCCTAAGATGAACAGAACATTGAGATTATCCCAAGAAAAAGCATTATTTCAGATAAGTGAAATTATATAATTTACCCATACAATCCCCTATACATACATTACATTACATTACATTAGATTAGATTACATTACATTACATTACATCACATATATACATACATGCACACACACACACATATATATATATATTCACCACGTAACATTCGCAGCCTGGCACTTGCCTCATCTTTTCGTTTCGTCCCTTTCTGAATCGTCGTCGCGGTTAGGTCATGGCCCAATTGCATGGTGGCGGCAACAACACGGATGCCTGGCAGATTTGGGGAGCCACCGATAGGAAATGAATTGCTACTAATGATAGTACATGATAGTACTATAATGTACAGTACTATAGTACTACCATGATTCTCACTATTTATAGTCATGGAGAATTTTTCTTAGTAGTTAATTACGATTGAATGAATTACCCCACGTGACTGGATAGGTAGAAACTAATCCTGGATAGTTTTTGGCAAAACAAATGGAACATCACCAGCAAACCAGCAAAAGCTTGATTTTTTGTTGACGACCAAAGATTGACCATGATGAAGAATGAATTACTATTATCACTATTTATAGTAACGAACAATTTATTAATAGTCGTTAATTACGATTCAATGAATAACCACTAACAGTCAATTACCCTCTTGTCATCCAGCGTCGCAAGCTGGCACATCCTCAAACTAAATTTGTTTTAATGGGAAAATCAAAGTAAATGGTGGATTTCCCAGCAAGCAATGTTTGATTACCAGAGGGCAATGACTAGTTTTCAATGAAGAGTAGTCAAGCACTATTTTCATATACCATCATTATTAAAAAAGTCATAGGTTATTGAAAATATCAGCATCCCATTGCGTCCTCTGGTAATAAAGGTCGTTCCCAACGAGTTGAACATCCTTTGCTTGGGTAACATTTCCCCATGTGTTTCCAGAGGGCTTTCTCCTTGTTTGCTGGTTGTAAAGCCGTAGGAAGGCGCAAAGCTCCCCGTTTCAGTCGATTCCCCAAGATCTTCTGTTTAGCTGCTTAGCAAATATCTGTGGTGCAGTAGGGTCGTGCATACATACATATGTACATATATATATAATGTATATGGTATTATATATGTATATGTTTTGTACACCATGTTTATACACATGAACATATTTGCATGCGTATATGCAGATACATATACACATGCATATACATATACATATACATATACATATACATGTACACATACACATGCATATGCATATGCATTTGCATATATATATATGTATATATATGTATATATATATATGTATATATGTATATATATGTATATATATATATATATATGTATATATATGTATATATATGTATATATATGTATATATATGTAAATATATGTATATATCTGTATATATATGTATATATATATGTATATATATATGTATATATATATATGTCTATATATATATGTATATATATATATATGTCTATATATATGTATATATATGTATATATATGTATATATATGTATATATATATGTATATATGTATATATATGTATATATATATGTATATATGTATATATATATGTATATATATGTATATATATGTATATATATATATGTATATATATGTATATATATGTATATATAGGCTCGTCCCAGGTCCTGGAACTACATACGATGGGATGGGGGGATGGGGTGGGATGTTAACGTTCATGTGAACTTGCAGAAGCAGTTGATGCTACGCACACGCGGGGTGGGGTGGGGGGGGGGGGGATGGGGTGGGATGTTAACGGTTAACGCTCATGTGAACTTGCAGATGATGATAATACTAATGCTGATGATGATGATGATGATGTGATGATGATGATGATGGTGATGATGATGATGATGTGATGATGATGATGATGATGACGATGACCCTAATGAAACTTGTCAATTCCGCGACAAAATTTCGTCACGGAATTGACAAGTTTTACCAACCTAATTCGTGTTTGCGCAGTTCTAGGACCTGGGACGAGGCTATATATGTACATATATATATATATAGATATGTACATGTACATGTTTACATTTTTTAGATAACACATGTCCTATTCCGACCTCTATGTGTGTATTATATATGTAAAGATAAACAACTACTGTCGTCGGCCTTGCATGATGGGCTTGTTGGTTTAAGGTCAAAGTGACAGGAAAATCCCATCTTTCCCTGTACATATAGGGCTGACTGCTGTTTAAAAAAACCCTTTATTCAAAGTGTGGGATAATGGGTTCCAGCGAAAAAACCCTGTGGTCATAACGATGATGGTTAACCACCATGTATCATTGACCAATCAACCATCCGCGTATCGTCACCATGAGTTATCATAACTAGATTGATTGGCTTTGTCTCGATTGATTGGGTACCACATTATTAAAACCCTGGTTTCAAGCATCATAGTTACAAGATGAGGCTACCTAGATAGCTAAGTTGACGCAAAGTTCACTTGGTTAACTGTTGGATTTATGAGGGAGATAATGAACTGGCATTCATAGGATTAGAAACCAACACACATTTGGGGCTTCCATAAATGGGGGTACCCCCAAATCATCCATTTTTAGATTGGGATTTTCCATTATAAACTATCATTTTTGGGGTACCACCATTTGTGGAAACCACCATTTCGCTAGGCCCCTCAGCTTTTTTTTTTCATCTCCTTGTTTCTTGCCACTTCCAAATCAGGACTAATCCCCCAGGATCTCATCCTCAATAACCGTCATGATTGCCCTCGGGTAAATTTAACATAGCTATTGAACATGGCCATAGAAATAGTTGATTGGGCTATGTTAAGAATGATGATTTTCTATGGCTATGTTAGTTTACCACAGGGTAACCACCATTTATCATCAACCACACATGAAATTTCAGCATAAATGATCATCATGGATATAACTTGGGAACTTTTTTTCGGGAAAGTCGGAGTTTCATCAGGAGTTTTCATGAGTTTTCCCAGGATCTCATGATCAACCAAACTTGGCCCATCTTCGACGATGACGACAGTGGCGCCGTCTCTGTCACGGCGCGGTCTCGGCGCGTGCGGGTTGTGAGTTTTGGGCCGAATTTTTTGTTGGGGCGAACAGTGTTCGACTTGTGCTGGTGAGGCTGGGGCTTCATTGAAGATCTGACATTCCCAAGGGCCTAAACAAGGCTTGACTAAGAAAACTGCTGACTAAACAGGAATTGGGAAAGCTGAGCTGGTTGAATTTACCATTTCATGGAGATTTTTCAACAGAAAATGGGGAACAAGGGACAGAAGGGGAGATTTATAACATAGCTGAGGCTGGGACCGGTTAACATGAATGATTTCCGGTTACGACCATTTGGAAAACTGAAATGGGTTGAGTCCGACTCAGTCCAGCAACCAGAAACTGTAGCTGGTTTGTAGCCCTACTTGTCCTGTACCCTCTGGCAATGATGTTTGCAGTTTGCGAAGTGGAAAATCACAATTTTCGATAGGTAGAAACCAGATCTATTTTCATGGGCCAAAAAAATGCCACAGCAATCTTGAATTGCCTGAGGGTAATCCATCAATGGGGATTTGTATTAATCCATTTTTTTGAGGATTCCATGTGATGGACATGATGGACCAGGGGCTCCATATCTCGATCATGGCACATATGGGGATCAAAACCTATGAACTAGATTGAACTAGCATTAGCCAGCTATTTTGATCACCAGGGGAACAGGCTGAGGAGACCCTTGACGTCGTCACTTGAGAGCCATGCGGTAAAAAACAACACAGGTGGCCGGCAAAAGTCTGATGCCTCAGCCTGGTTAAGGCACTCGTTGATGTGCCTTAGTCATGGAACTTGCCCCAAAACTGAACCTCAAGACTTGTCTTGAGGTTCAAAAAGCCTCTTGGTTATTTGGTTGATGATTCTAGTTTTGAACACTGCTATAATCATCAACCAATATATTGGTTGTTCAAAAACTTCCAAGTTATAGCAACCAATATAATGGGGACTATCAGAATCCATGAGCTGGTCCCAATGAGCTATGTTTGTTGCTTCAGAAACCCCAACTTCGCAAAGGACCGGGGGCACCACCTGATTTTTTATATCCCCAATATACAACCATTATTTTTAGCCACTTCCCAAGAGTTTCCCAGCCAAATCATCATTTTGGCACGGTTACAGCACTACTTAGGTAGCGAAAAAATGGCCAGCTGTAAATCATCCTGCCAATCATCCCCTAGGATTCATATCCATTCATATCCTGCAAACTAAATGGGTCAAATCATAAGGAATGATTATGGATCCATAAAATAGCCTGAAAATTATGGCTTTATGGTGTTCAAATGCAGTCATCCATAATCATGTAAATTTTTATCATCCCAGTTATCATCCCAGAAAATCAGTCCATGTAGCTCAGTCCATCATCCCAGTTATGGCTATAATCTCCAAACGTAGTCCTACCAGTAACGGCATTAACGGCTGGATTCCAGGAGCTGCAGAACGTGGGTCAGTGGTTTTCTATCTCAGCTCTTCAAGGCGAGTTTAATAAAAGCAAGGTTGTGGTGAGAACTCATGGGATTTCCATGGGATTTCCATGGGATTTCCATGGGGATTTAGATAGCACCACCTCGCATACGGGGCCCAACTGAGGTGTGAGTTGTGAGTTGCGAGTTGAGTTATAGCTATTATAGCCATGGTTCTCAGCAATCACTGGAGCCCCTATATTTCATGAGGAAAACTGGAAAAACCACTGACATGGTTTCCGATTTTCCCTTCTATCAATCCAGTGAAACGATTTCCTACTTTTTCCAAGGGGGCCTTTTTTTTGGCACTATGGTATCACTATGGTTACAACAATGGAATTAACCACTTAGTGAAATAGATCCACTGAAACTATGAGGTCTCACAGCCTCACAGCTTTTCGGACTTTTTTGCCAGGGGATAAGCCCCAATCGCTGATCGATAAGTATGACACCAGCGGCGATGGAGAGATTGGCAAAAAGGAGCCGGGCGATCGTCTGAGGGGTCTCAACATGGGGGATGACCCTCTGGTAATTTCACATAGCTATGGTCGAAGGAAGTTTAGAAGTCAAACTTCCGACAATATGGAGAGATGAAAAGCAGAGCAGGGCAGAGGCAGAGAGAAGAGGAAGAATAGAAGAGAGAAGATCAGAAGAGAAAGACTAAGAAGACAGAAGATACAGATGCGCGAAAAGGTAGGAAAGTCGCGAAACACTGTGTTTTTCCAATGATTTGTGGCTCCAGAGGGTCGAAAAGTAGGCTCGCTAAAGCGAGGGGTGCGGAGCCAGCTGGCCACAGGAGCGATGAAAAATTGCACGCCGTTGTGGTGCGAAGCACATTTCGAAGTCAAAAGTGTTAAAAACTGGCGGTCTCGGACCACTTTTGGAAGTTGAGATGTCGAAAAAGTGCACGCCGTTGTGGCGCGAAGCACATTTCGAAGTCAAAAGTGTTAAAAACTGGCAGTCTCGGACCACTTTTGGAAGTTGAGATGTCGAAAAAGTGCACGCCGTTGTGGCGCGAAGCACATTTCCAAGTCAAAATGTACAAAACACACCATTCTTGGACCACTTTTGGAAGTTGAGATGTCGAAAAAGTGCACGCCGTTGTGGCGCGAAGCACATTTCCAAGTCAAAATGTTAAAAGCACTAGGGGTTCGGACCACTTTTGGAGGTTCAGATGTCGAAAAAGTGTCGAAAAAGTGCACGCCGTTGTGGCGCGAAGCACATTTCGAAGTCAAAAGTGTAAAAAACTGAGGGTTTTGAGCCTTTTTTGACGTGAAGATGGCGAAAAAGTAGACACTGATTAACTTAACTAACTTGACTAACTTAACTAACTTCACTAACTTAACTACCCTAACTTCGACGACAACAGCAACAGCAACAGCAACAACAACAACAACTACAACTACAACAACTACACAACAACTACAACTACAACTACAACTCGAACTACAACAGCTACAGCTACAACAACAACAACAGCAACAACAACAACAACAGCAACAACAACAACAGCCACAGCAACAGCAACAACAACAACAACTACTACAACTACAACTACAACTACAACTACACAACAACTACAACTAGAACTACAACTACAACAACTACAGCTACAACAACAACAACAGCAACAACAACAACAACTACTACAACAACAGCAACAACAACAACGACTACAACTACAACAACTACAACTACAACTACTACTAGTACTACTACTACTACTACTACTACTACTACTACTACTACTACTACTACTACTACTACTACTACTACTACTACTACTACACTACACAACAACTACAACCACACAACAACTACAGCTACAACTACAACAACAACTACAACTACAACAACTACAACAACTACAACTACAACTACAAAACAACTACATCTACAACTATATGACTGCAACTACACTACACTAATTACATTACACCACAACTACAACTCCACTACGCTACAACTACAACTACAGTTGCAGTACATCACACTACATCCAGCAGTTGTGGTTGAGGTGACCACTGCAACCATTGCAACCATTCCAGCAAACACAACTCCAACCACCTTTCGGTCAATCAGTGGCTTCGCTCTGCCATCCCTGATTCACAACAACCAACTTCTCCTATAGGTTTCCTCTTTTTGAAACTTCCGCCACCGCCTTGTGCGGTACTACTGGTATAGATATGTATAGATGGCGCATTTATAGATGATAGAAATATATAGAAATGATGATTTACGTATTGCTTTAACGGTGATTTTCCATAGCATTCCATAGCGATACATGTAAGCGTCAAAATTACTAAAATGATACTTTTCATGGGAAAATGAACGACCATGATGATCAAAACAATCAAGATTTGAGGCACCTTAGTTTCCTGCGAACTCAGATTTTGAGGACATCATCCATCATCATCATTGGAATGAGGATGGCAAGAATGGGGAATGGTGATAATGCTGAACTTGCATTCATTGTTTGGGTGAGGCCACTTTTCCTGCAGTGGGCAGATGATTGGTGATTGAAACAAAGCAAACATGACTGCAATTTGTTGTCCCAAAGTCCGTTTTTGGGGAAACATGTAGAACCCCACTCGCAATGATATCCACATACACACATATATGCATGAATGCATCCATAGGTATGCGTGTATATATATATATATGTTAGAGAGACCTTTCTGTACTATTTGACGCCTTTACTAATCTTCATTATTTTAAAGTACAAGAAGTAAAATAAATAAAGATTTATTTTCTTTATTTTCTTTATTTTCCTGGAGCCTCAAAAAGAAAATAAAGACAATAAAGAAATTAAATCTTTATTTTCTTTACTTTCTTTATTTTCCTGGAGCCTTAAAAAGAAAATAAAGAAAATAAAGAAATTAACTCATTATTTTCTTTATTTTCTTTTTTTCTTTATTTACTTTTCCAGGTGTCCAGCAGGATGGAATCTATAGAAAATAATGATTTATGTTCTTTATTCCCCCAATACTAAAAAACATATAGATATTTATTATTCCAAAAAAATTCTGAACCCCAATTCATTCGCATATCTTCCAATTCATTCGTATTTTCCCATCCAAAAAAAAATCTGAATCACAATTCATTCGTATATCTTCCAATTCATTCGTACACCTTCCAGAAAAAAATCTGAACCCAAATTCATTCGTATATCTTCCAATTCATTCGTATATTTTCCCCTCCAAAAAAAATCCGAACCACAATTCATTCGTATATCTTCCAAAAAAAAAATTAACCACAATTCATTCGTATATCTTCCAATTCATTCGTATATCTTCCGAAAAAAAATTGAACCCCAATTCATTCGTATATCTTCCAATTCATTCGTATATCTTCCAATTCATTCGTATATTTTCCCATCCAAAAAAAATTTGAATCACAATTCATTCGTATATCTTCCAATTCATTCGTATATCTTCCAAAAAAAATCTGACCCAATTCATTCGTATATCTTCCAATTCATTCGTATTTTCCCATCCAAAAAAAAATCTGAATCACAATTCATTCGTATATCTTCCAATTCATTCGTACATCTTCCAGAAAAAAACCTGAACCCCAATTCATTCGTATATCTTCCAATTCATTCGTATATTTTCCCCTCCAAAAAAAAATCCGAACCACAATTCATTCGTATATCTTTCACCTCATTCGTATATCTTCCAAAAAAAAATGAAACACAATTCATTCGTATATCTTCCAATTCATTCGTATATCTTCCAAAAAAAATGAA